TTATTATTGTTTGTTTGTTTGTTCGTTTGTTTGTTTAGATTTGCGCTCATTTTGTTGTGAAAGTTTGGTGTCCAAACAAACAGACTGACAGAGAGCAGGAAGTTTGCAGCGAAGCCTGCAATGAGCGAGCTGTTCCGCACGTTTGGAAAATAATCCGCGCGCCAGTGTCATCTTTCTTATGCAAAGCAGCTGTTTGAAGGCGGATCTTTTTTGGCAGGTTAGACTGGGACCGAGGCTCCGACCAGCTCAGACGGAGCTCCGCCACCAAACGCATCCACAACCCGCCCGCCTGCCTCTGCCCCGGGAAGGAGCGAGGACTAATCCAGCCTTTCTGGGACACACTTTAGGGATTCTTATCTGACTCGTTTTTTACATATTGTTTTATTTTTATTTTTATTAACTTTCTCTGTTTTGTTGCCAAATTGTTTCCGGTGCCTTTTACGCACAGCCATCGCACGAAAAGGCTGTAAGAGAGACGTTTTTAGTTCCTTTTTTCTTTTCAAGTTGTTTCCTCAAAAACTGAAATCACGCAGCCACAGAGAGACAGGCAACCTGATCCTGAAACGTGGAGACGGATCAGTGTGAGCGCTTTGGAAACAAAAAGGAAGCTAATCAGCGGAGTTTTTTTTTTTTTTTTTCACTCACAGAAAAGAAGAAGTATCTCCAGTCCAAAACCCGAGCGCTGGAGAGCATGGACCTGACAGCGCGCTCGAAGCCAGGAAACCTTTGCGCTCCATCGCGGGATTTTTGTCTTTATTCAACTCAGCAACTCTAAAATGAGAAAGTGAAATGCTTTTGCAACAAATAACTGAGTAAGTTTTCCCCCCTCCCTCATTAATCTCCAGCAGCAGCTTTTCACTTTGTAATGCAAGAAACCTGCCTTTTTGAGACAGAGAAAAACATTTGACTGTTTTTTTTTTCTTAAAACTGAGAGGGGATAATGTGTTCAGCTGTGAAACCGAGCCTCATCCCTGTGCTGCTGCTGGTGCTGTGGAGCAGCAAGGGCTCAGCCATCAGCTCCATAGACCCCGACTGGTCAGGAGAGGGCAGATGTCAGCATATTAACATCCCCCTGTGTAAAGACATTGGCTACAACATGACCCGCATGCCGAACCTCATGGGTCATGACGATCAGAAAGAGGCCGCCATCAAGCTCCAAGAGTTCTCCACGCTGATACAGTACGGGTGCCACGGCCACCTCAAGTTCTTCCTGTGCTCGCTGTACGCTCCCATGTGCACGGAGCAGGTGTCCAACCCCATCCCGGCGTGCCGAGTCATGTGCGAGCAGGTCAAGATGAAGTGCTTGCCCATCCTGGAGCGCTTCAACTTCCCCTGGCCCGACTCCCTGGACTGCTCCCGCCTTCCCACCAAAAACGACCCCAACAACCTGTGCATGGAGGCGCCCAACAACGGGTCCGACGAGCCCCCCAAAGTGTCCCACACGCAGCCTCCGGAGTTCAGGCCACAGCGGCCCATGAGCGCACACGACCTGCACCTGAAGGACAGCGGCGGCAGCAGCAGGCAGACCTGCAGCAACCCCGGCAAGTTCCACTTTGTGGAGAAAAGCGAGTCCTGTGCCCCAAAGTGCTACTCTAAAGTGGACGTGTATTGGAGTCAGGGGGACAAACAGTTCTCCCTGGTGTGGATGGCCATCTGGTCCATCCTCTGCTTTGTCTCTAGTGCCTTCACTGTTCTCACGTTCCTCATTGACCCACAGAGATTCAAATACCCCGAGAGGCCAATCATCTTTCTCTCCATGTCCTACTGTGTTTACTCTGTGGGCTATCTCATCCGACTTTTTGTTGGAGCTGACAGAATAGCCTGTGACAGGGACAACGGGGTTCAGTATATTATTCAAGAAGGTCTGGAGAGCACCGGATGCACCATCGTCTTCCTCATCCTGTATTACTTTGGCATGGCCAGCTCCCTCTGGTGGGTTATCCTGACCCTAACTTGGTTTCTGGCTGCAGGGAAGAAGTGGGGCCATGAGGCCATTGAGGCCAACAGCAGCTACTTCCACCTGGCGGCGTGGGCCATTCCAGCCGTGAAGACCATCATGATCCTGGTGATGAGGAAGGTGGCCGGGGACGAGCTGACGGGCGTCTGCTACGTGGGTAGCATGGACGTGAAAGCTCTCACCGGCTTCGTGCTCATTCCGCTCTCCTGCTATCTCATCATCGGCACCTCCTTCCTGCTGTCCGGCTTCGTGGCCCTCTTCCACATCCGAAAGATCATGAAAACGGAGGGCGAGAACACGGACAAGCTGGAGAAGCTGATGGTCCGCATCGGCGTCTTCTCTGTGCTCTACACGGTCCCGGCCACCTGCGTCATCGCCTGCTACTTCTACGAAAGGCTCAACATGGACTACTGGCGCATCCTCGCCACCGAGCAGAAGTGCGTGGAAAGCAGCGGGCCCGAGTCGGACGAGTGCGTCATGAAGGCTTCCGTCCCCGCCGTGGAGATCTTCATGGTGAAGCTCTTCATGCTGCTGGTGGTGGGCATCACCAGCGGGATGTGGATCTGGACGTCGAAGACGCTGCAGTCGTGGCAGAACGTGTTCAGCAGGAAGCTGAAGAAGAGGACGAGGAGGAAGGCGAGCAGCGTCTTCACCAGCAGCAGGCCTTACATCAAACCTCACCCGTCTCTCAAAGGGCAGAACACGAAGTACGAGCCCACTCGAGCCCCGCCGACATGCGTATGAGCTGGTTCTCACTTTGTACAAAACATACTTTTAAAAGCAGGACTTCTGATTGATCAGAAGAGTCACAGCTCATGCTTTATTTATGCATCACGCATTGAGAACATACATATCCTTTTTTTGTATCTTTCAGCCTCATCAAAAGAAGGCTGTGTTTGAGTGAAATCGGCTTCACTCTTATTCTTTTGGGGAACTCGAGTTACAAAAAAAAAGTAGAAGTTGTATTGTTCCCGAGACAAACAGAACAGAGTAAACMTGTTGGATTTGTGTTACTTGAATAAAGTGCAATAGATGTTTTCCTTTCTGGCTGAAAGACACTTAGACTGCTGGTGAAACCTTACAGACAATGGAGGCACACGGTCTGAGAGATGACTGTTGTTTCCAGGTTTTTATAATGGAAATCCTGCTTGTCATAAATGCATGAACTGGACTGAAAGCAGCTGCTGAAAGGCACCGGAGCCTTCCAAAATGCCCCACTGTGAGGCAAATCCACACCATAAAACAGTCAAACACTCTTTATTGAAACGTTATTTGTTCCCACTGTTTCTGCCTTTTTTTTTTCCTTTTCCTTTGCTGTTTTATAGCACAAAGAAACATTTGTATATGTATTTTAAAAGAACTGAGATTTTATAGAAAAAAAATAAATGTTTTAGTTTTAAACAAGTCATTGCAGATCTTTTGAGTGATTTGTCGTTTCTACATTTTAAAGCTTCAATTGTTTTAAAACTCTATTTTAAAAAAAATGTAACAAATTTCCTCAACTTGTGAAGATATTGGAACAAATAAGCGAGAAAAGCATCAACAGGAAAATATTCTGCAATTCAGGTTGGATTTGATAGCTCTTCTTCTCCCGCGTTACAAAGATGACGTATAGAAAGTACATTAACAGGAACATTTTKCCACGTTTTCTAGACAACAAGATGATTCTAAAATAAGCAGGGACTTTACCATGAACAGCCATGTTTTTGCTTTTCACTGCTGCCATATAAAAACATTACAGCAAGAAAATAATTTTCAAGAAAGATTGTTCAGCTGTACTTCTCTATACAGAACAAGGTAAAATATGTCATTTTAAGCTTATTTGAAACATTTATTTATCATAGTTTTTATTACTAACAGACAGAGGCGAAGAAAACATTTCATTTTAAAGAAATCATCTATTTTTCCTGTCTGGTTTATTCAAATGTTGCAACATATTTTTTAATGTTTGTTTTAACTGATCGTTCCTTTTATGAGAGTCGATGCTGTATTTGGGTCATATCAGTGAGGTGTTTTTCCAATAATCCAGCTTTCTTGTGGGACAGGATTAGACCGTTTAAAGGTTTAACTAAAGAGGATCACCAAACTAAAATCCAGCGTTTCTTGTCTTTTCTTCCTATCAGCGACATCTTAGGAGACGTTTGGCCTTGATTTAAAGTAACTTTATTTAACCTGAACTGGTTTTTAAAACCACACATTGTCTGATTTCAGGAGGTGTTCTATGTTAAATGATCCTTATGTTTCCAAAGGTGCACGAGTCTTGTTTTGATTCGACTGTCAGGACTGTTAAGTTTAGATGTCACAGAGCTGTCAAAGGCTTAATTCAGATGTCAGCCACTAAACAAGACTTGAATACATGTCGGATTATAGAAAAGTTGTCAAAAACAGTGATGATGGAAGAAAAATTAATCGTGCTTTTGCGAGTTGAAGAAAATTATATATTTTTTTCTGTCATACCTATAAAAAGGAAAAAAGGAGAGTTTAAACTGATGTTCGAAAGTTCTCCTTTTGGGTTATTGAAGTTTCTGAAAGGTAACGTTTCTTCATCCCTGCGGCCATTCGAGTTCCAACGTCGACCCAACCAGTTTTAACAGTCAAAAGGCACATGACTCACAACCTCTGTGGCTGAATCAAAGTCAGCCACTGTCTATTGATACTCTGAGTTGCAAAAAAAGAAAAAAAAAAGTGGGAGCTTTTCTGAGAGCCTCAACAGAGGCCACCTGGATAACAGCCCCTGAGGTGTGCAGCGAGGCTGTAAATATAAATGACAGGTACCACCCCTCTCCAGGACTTCTCTTCTCCTCTCTTCAAAGGGAAAAAAGGAATCCTGCTAAGAGCAAGGACATACTGGTGCTGGGAAGTTTTCTTTTTAGGTGGTCAGTCGTGCTCAAGCTTTTAAAAAACGCAGCTCTAACTCTGGTAGACTCTTGTTAGCAAGTGTCTTTTAGCAGATTAGAACAAAAAACAAGTTTCATGTTGGTAAGTGTGGAACGCTTTTCCTTGCCAGGGACGCATCTTTTGTTAAGACTGTGGGAAATCCCATTTCATCCATGTGACTATATGCTGATGGATGAATCACATCTTAAAAGAAAAAAAAACTAATCCACCTATGTTATTACTGTTATTTCTTTAYATACTGAACAGACAACCACAACTATTAGGCTGTGATGTGGAGCTTTTTGCTTGTGTTGCTAAAAGAACATCAAGCCTCTCATAATTGTTTGATTTAAATTACACTGACTGTATCATTTTTACTTTTTACCATCTTAACTGAGCTAAAATACATATCAGTGTTTAAACATAAAGCTACAAAAACTAAAGTACTTTTGCACAGCTCAAAAAACTCATTATCATTAGTCAATATCTTGTTTCAATAATAATAAACATCTATAACTGTATGTGATCTCAGAATGCAGGGATTTGAATAGACCCATGTCCCCTTGTGTTCTTTATTCACTGCTTTGCAACCATCAGAAAGGTCTCCAAACCGTGGCATAAATCAAGCTGCTGGGATGACTGATGGCTGAGGCAACTAGTCTTTGATCAGACTTGGTGGAGACGCCCCATGTCCTCATCCTCAGCTGCTCCTGCAGCACCTGTTTACTAGTCGAGGCTTGTCTGCTCAGAGCGCACTGCTTGGTCTCTTAAAATCATCAGCTCATACATGACTCACACGTGCACACTCAACGTATGCACAAAGGAATTTGTTCCCAGCGTTCAGGGGAGTGTGGGTTTTCTCTGAAATGTACGCTTTCAGACATGCTGGACCCGCAATGGTTCTTGCGGCACTTGTCCCTTAATTGTCACCAGCTACAAAAAGAGAGCTGTGGTCTTTATTGGGACATCAGACTCATCAGACTGTGATCATGATGAATAAAGTTAGAACATCAAAACAAATGAAACTGACCTTTATACTGTAAGAAATAAATTAGAACTATTTACTGTGAAAATATGTGAAAGCTAAAAGCCTTTTGCTGAAATATAAATAAATAAATGCTTAAAAAGGAAACCCCTACCTACAAGTTAAATATGGTAAAAGGTCTGCTAAAAGAAGCAAAAGACTTAAAAAGAAACAAAAGACATAAGAGCTAAAGAAGGAAAAGCTATCTAAAAGTAGCAAAAGACTAGCTAAAGGCTAAAAAAAATCAAAAGAATGGTGGCTAAAAGCAGCAGATGTTTAGTTAAAAGTTGGGAGTTTGCAGAAAGTTTGTGTGAGGATCTAGTCATGGGATTAGGGAGACTACCCTCCACCAGTGTAATGTTTTGAGGGCATCTCTGATCCGGACGTTTTTTGTTAAAATGACACTGCATTTTCTGAATCAGGGCCTAATACAGAGACATTAAATGTCTGTATCTGGACCAGCTGATGGTTTGTGTGGCTTTAACATTCAAGTCTAAATTCTGTTTTTGTTTCTTTGTTCCTGACACGCACCAGAGTGAATGAACATACTATATTTTTCAGCAGCAAAAGGCTAGCTAAAAGCTAAAAGTAGCATAATAGAAGCTAAGTAGAGAAAGGTTAGTTAAAAGCAGRGTGGTAGCTTAAAACCAAAAGCTAGCCAAAAGCTAATAGTCACAGAACAATAACTAAAAGTAACAAAATGTTAATTGAAAGCTAAAAACAGCAAAACAAGAAAAAAATCTATATGTAAATATAAAATAC